AGGCCTGCCCTTTTCTGGATAGAAATGGAGAAGGAGTGGTTGATTGGGGAGATGGGCAGTTGGAGGAAGGACTGGGAGGAGAGGAAGGAGGAGAAACTGTAGTCAGTATGTAAAAATAATACTAAATCATTAAAAAGAGAGACAGAGAGAGGATCCTAGCAATGACCAAAAGTACTTCTATCAAAATCTACCTTGATGTACAAGTGAGTACATTGTAGGCCCTTATAGGAGCTCGATGAGAAGTTACTTATAGTAGAGAATTGTGAGAGACTCAAAGGCAGCTGCATGACTGGAATTTACTCAAGCATAGATGAAGACAAAAAGCTGAATACAACTTGCAGAGAGCTACACGTCTCTCTTCCCCATGCCTTTGCTATCTGCTTATATAACCTAGGGCTGGGGACTCATGCATTTGGTAACTTTCTAAGCTTTGTGAATGATGTAAACTCAAACATTTGTAAGTTTTGTTAGCTTACCAAATCTAATTAATTTCCCCACTTTCTCTAAGAGGGACTATTTCATTTGTATGATTCAGCTACATGATAAAGAACACACACACTCTCTCTCCTCCCCCGCTCTCTCTCTCACACACACACACAAACACACACAGACACACTGCATCACACACACCCCATCACACAGACAAACACACATATGCACACGCACTCATGCACGCACGCACACACACACACACACACACACACACACACACACACACACACGGTTCCAGACAATGTAATATATGACTGTTCTTCCTCAACAAGATGATATAGGTAGGTCTCTATAGACCATTTAATTACTGCTTCTTTAGGTGAATAGAATGAAGGCTGGTGGATGTCCTCCTGGGCACCCATTTCTCTGTGGACTTTGTGAATGTTTCAGTCCTTTGAATTCAAGACATTCATGTGTAGCATCCAGGATGAATCTATAAGATCACTTTAGAAGGATGGCCCTGTGTGCCAAAGGCATTTTGGTGTTTATTGAAATATAGAAAGGTGCTATTTTTGTGAACTTTTATTTCACACTTGCATATTATTATGAGTTTGCAACAACATCCAGCTCAAACGAATGCCCAATTAAAATTGATATCTGAGTTCACAATGGTGTGCTTCTTCCTCTTAGTGTTTCTGGCCACTTCACAGAGTGCAATCAGAGACTCTTCTGTTTTCACTCTCAGCATCCCTATGTGACAGATTGGACACTATTTTGTAACCTCCTAATAATAATCACTTTTTCATTGTATTGGTCTGTCTCTGGGGAATCTCATTGTTCAACTAGTCATTAGGAAAAAACTTCTTCACCAGGAGGTTTGCTTATTTGAGAGGGACTTCCAACTGGATCTCAAGTAACACAGAGACACCTTCCTTAAAGAACAAGGTGGGTTTGTAGCTTAATCTATGTTTTGCTCAGAATGCAGAAACAGAAGATTTGGTGTATGAAGGTGCAGGGTGACTATTTTTCTGTGTAATAATCAGAGTTCAGCATTATGGTATCTAGTATCCTGTGTTCATATCTGTTTTTAAATCAGGAGTCTAGAAATCACAGCTGCTTTCCCTAATGGAGGAAATGGGTATATTTCCAAATAGAAGGTGCCAGCATTATTACAGTTTGAAATATGTTTTTAAGATAGTGTTTATAAAGTGGAGCATGCTCAGTAGGTGAGTTTTGATACACTATGCAAACAAATGAAGGACCGAATGAAGTCTATCTATGAATAACTACTTACTTGTTTGTTAAGTTATTTAGAATGTGTTTCTAAAGCAACATTCTTACAGAACTTTACACAATCAAGTGTTGTGTGAATATGGAATTTATAGCTATAAATACAATTTATATTGATACACAGAATATATATATATATATACACACATGTCAACATGGATATATTCATAGAATAAATAAAGCTTCCATGTACTCCTACTTCCCTTACTTTCAAGATTCAACTTTATGCTTCTTTTTGTCTTAAATAAATTAATATTTGCAAACATTAAGCAGAGAAGTGGCATAAAATCTGTGTTAGAAACCGTTACTAGCCAGGCAGTGGTGGCACATGCCTTAAAACCAGCACTCAGGAGGTAGAGGCAGGTGAATCTCTATGAGTTTGAGGCCAGCCTGGTCTACAAAGGGAGTTCCAGGACAGCCAGGACCATTACACATGAAAACCCTTTCTTGAAAAACAAAACAAAAAGACAAAAAGGAAACCAATACCAATAATAGCAGTGGCATTTAACACAATTTTTAAAAATTGTGTATTTCATCCATTATTTAATTTTACCATCCACTAATGGATTATAACTTTTCATTTATAAAATACTGTGAACAACCTGTCATATCCTAATTATCAAAGACTCACACTAGTCAAACTCAGAGAGAGTACAGTGCACTTAATAACACATGTATCACAGTAAATGTATTTCAATTATATTTAAGTGTTATTTCATTGACTGTTGTTCTCAGTTATGTTTCAAAAAGTATAAGCATAATATATTCTCAAAAAATTAGAGTCTATTTTGAGAGATTCTTAAAGAAAGACATGGACGCTGTCTATATGGAACATAATATAAGATATAAATTAAAAGAATATATTATCATAAAAATACCAACAAAAAGCATAAGAAGTGTTTCCTTCTTGGATTCTTCATGTGCAGTCTCAGAACAGTCATCATTAGAGATGCTTAAATTCTTATTGGGAGCTGCTCTTCAAATCACTGTTTATGAAGAGGAATTACAAGTATTTCTTAGGTAGCTTATTCACGTAAAAATGGACTGCCAGTGTGGTGTGTGCTGTATGATATGACAGGCAGATGAACATTAGGAAAAATCAAGAGGCTTCTCCGTTTTAATCTAGTATACAACAAATACTAAATTGTATGGGAATAAGTTTCTTCAAAAACTTTGAAGCATCTTATATCTTAAAGTTTTTTTCAGAGGAAAAAAGATTTTGGAGAATTTAAATGTTATTAAGTAAAAAATACTTTAGTAAAGTTTTTAAGTAAAGAAAACCTAAGTTTCAAAATGAGATATATCCTGAAGCTCAGGCACTTTTTGCTACCTCAAATTGGTTTAAATTTCCATAATTCTTGGATCATTCTGTACCTTTATTTGTTTCTCTGTTCTCTCTCCATCTTTACTCTTTTCAATCTCTATTCATTGTTCTTTGGTGCTGGGAAGTGAACCCTGGGTTTTATTTATAACAGATAAACTCCTTAACAGCATGCTCTGCTCCCAATCATTGTTCTTATTTACTTTAATTTTTTCATTTTTAGACAAAGTCTTGCTAAGATACTCAGCCTGTACTTGACCTCAGTCTGTCACCCATGTAGGAGTTAACTCACAGTTTTCTTGTTTCTGATTCCCAGATAGAATGGTGTTCTCTTATGTGTTCAGCTCTATTCTAAGTATAACGTGTCACAGAGAAATAACTTTAAAACAGCAAAATTTATTGCTTAGGTTCTCATGTTAAATTTAGAATGTTTAGATGCGAATCCATAAGAATTAGGATAACAGTGTCTGGCACCAAGAATAATGTTGCCAGTGTATGTTTAGAGTTATAAAGAATCGATGCATTAATATCCAGTAATGGATCAAGGAAGGGTTTATGGGGTCTTACTTACCCCTCACTGTTGAACTGTTAGTGCTAGATTCAGAAAAGAGATAGAATTTGCCTTCAGTACACATCCCCTGGTAAGCCCAGTTATGTTACAATGGATAGTCCTAATCCAATGCTCACGCAGATGGCCCTGGTTCACAAAAGAAAATTAAACGTCAAGAGGACTCAGGATAAGGAGGTAGACAGATCTCTCTGAGTTCAAGGCCACGAGATTGAATCGGTCTAAAACAGTTACAGATCACACGCCTTTAATCCCAGAACTAGGGGGTTATTAAAGAGAGAAGCAGGGTTTTCAGTAGTCAGTATGAGGCAGTCATTCTCCAGAGGAGAGGTTATAGTCTGAGGCTTGGTGAGATCTTGTGGAGACAGGATCAGCCCATTTAGCTTGAGGTAGAGGTAAGAAGATAGTGGCCAGCTGCTTTGAGTCCTCCCCAAATGTCAGGAATCTGGAAAAGGAATACATAGAGAGGAAGAAGGGTTGAGCACTGCCAAAAGAATGTAAGAAATGGTGACAGGGGAGATTAATAGGAATCACACACACAATAAAAATGTAGCCCTATCATCTTTAAGATCAGATATTTGCAGAGCACAGGAGATTTTCTCGTCCCATCTTTCCTATGAACTAATTTGAAGTCTCAGTTCTTTCCTTCTATGACCCAAATGGTAGTGGCTCTTCTGGGGGTAGTGACTGATGAATACTTTGAGGGTATATGTTGGAGAGAACATTAACCATGTATGCTTATGGATTACATGTAGAGCAAGAGAGTAAGATACCCAAAGCCAAGCTATTCTGGTATTAAATTCTTGTTTGCTGAAGGGTTTATCATATTTTCAGCAGATATTTACCCTGGATTTTATAAAATAAGGGGGCTATTTTATAATGGGATTATGTAGTCAAATAAGGTTAGTGGTCAAACCTGAACTTCATCAGGTTATGTTGTAGCACAAGATGGCATTTAAAAATTCCTGTTTGTTATTCTTTCTGAGACATTATCCTTGTTACCATTTAATATTTGTGAAAGTTTTATTTTACCTAAGCAAATTTTAATTAAAGTTAGATGATTATCTACATAAGCTGCATGAGTGATGGGGTTCAAATAATTTTTTCTTTCCCATTTTATCTATTCCAATAACATGTGCATACATCATTGTTGTTATTAATAACATCATATTTATTTAGAATGGTATAATGGTTGTTCACTGTGCATTAACTATACATTAACAGAATTCTGAGCAATTTAAATCAATGATTCATTATATTGTTTTCTTCCCTGCTCATCATGTGTTTACCTATGGTGACTGAACCCAGGGTCTCATGCTCTCTGGGAAAGACATCTGTCATGTCCTTTCTTGATCTTGACAGGTAAAATACAATATAAAAACGTTGTTCATGGCCAATAGCAGTAGAATGAGTGCTTTTATACTTTTGGGATTGACTGACAACCCGGAGATGGAAGTCCCCTTGTTCATAATATTCACCCTCATCTATCTCATCACACTGATCGGGAACTTAGGCATGATTGTGTTGATCTGGCTGGACTCCCGTCTCCACATTCCCATGTATCTTTTCCTCAGTAATCTCTCTCTGGCAGACTGTGTTTACTCCTCAGCTGTGACTCCAAAGGTGATGGCTGGACTTCTCACAGGGGATAAAGTTATCTCCTATGGGGGATGTGTTGCTCAAATGTTCTTCTTTGTGTCATTTGCCAGTGTTGACTGTTTTCTGCTTGCTGCCATGGCTTTTGACAGGCATGCTGCAGTTTGCAAGCCCTTACATTATGCCACTACCATGACTGCTAATGTGTGTACTTATATAGTGATTGGCTGCTATGTGTTTAGCTTAGCAGAATCATCTATCTATATTGGGTTTATCTTTGATCTCTCCTTTTGCCATTCTACTGTGATTCATCACTTTTTCTGTGATATCCCTCCAATCCTGGATCTTTCCTGCTCTGATATATACATGAATGAGATTGTGCTCTTTACCATGACATCCTTTAATGTCTTTTTTGCTCTGATAGTTATCTTGACCTCCTATGCATTCATACTCATTGCTATCCTGAGGATGCGCTCAGCAGAAGGACGGAAGAAAGCCTTCTCCACTTGTGCATCTCACCTCACTGCTGTGACCATATTCTATGGAACTATAATCTTTATGTATCTACAGCCCAGTTCTAGTCATTCCATGGACAATGACCAAATGGCATCTGTGTTTTACACCACAGTAGTCCCCATGTTGAACCCAGTAGTCTATAGCTTAAGGAATAAAGAGGTTCATAATGCCTTAAAGAAAGCCACTGAGAAGATGAAGTCTGTTCAACACCTAGTTTTAATTAGAGATTTATACAATTTACACAATTAATAATTTATTTATTGTGTAGCAGAAAATTCTTTCATTTACTGGCTAAAGGCAATGGTTTACTATATATACCAGTCATGACAGAAAAGCCCCTTTGCTTTGAGTCTGGGCTCACTCATGAGATTTTGTATGTTTATTACTTGGGTGTTCCAAGATAGTCTCATTTTATTTTATTGTTAACAATACTGGCTCTTTTCTAGACAATCTTTGTTTATCTGCTCTGGATCTCTCATCCTATAGTGCACAATACATTTGGCTTACTTACAATTTTAGGCAGTATTCTCAGAGACTGTTATGTAACTCATAGTCTTATTCAAATCTTAAATAAAACATGTATGCATCTCCTCCACAACTCTATACCAGGAAATGGCAGTTAAGCCTCACCAAGATTCAAATACGAAGAAGGAGATACTAGTTTTTGAGAAAGGGTGTGAGAAGAATTTGTCATTGTGAGGTGATTAGAGCTTCACTAGATCAGAGCTATTGTGGAACAACAATACTAGTCTGCTGAAGAATACAAAACATGTTCAATGTTCAGAGACTAAGAGGAGTTCGCAGCCTTAATTGGGACATACATATCAGACTCTCTTCCCAGGCCTTAAGGAACTTTGTGAAGGAGAGGACTGGCAGATTGTAAGAGGCAGGGATGATAGGCAACACCAAGGAACAGTGCTTTCTGGACACAGCATGGCATTTACATATATGCACTCTCAATGCTTTTGACAGCAAGCACACGATCTGCACAAGCTCAAGCAAGAAAAATACCAGCGTAGAGCAAGAAAGTGGACATGAAATCCCATCACTATCTGAGGAACTATTGGTATTTAGCAACTTCTGGGAGAAGGAAAATGTGTTTTCTTTAGCTATGTGTCTATGGGAAGATCAACTATACACCGGAGCTGGCCTTAATCACAAGACTATTTGGGGGCACACACATTGGACTTTATGCATTAGGAGACAGAAAAATAAAACCGAACATTTGGTGGGAAAGGATGAGAGAGGGTAGTTATGACTGGAGTTGGAGGAGCGGTGTCTATTTTCAAATATATCATATGAAAATATTAAAGAATTGATAAAAATATTATTTGAAAGTAACAAATAATATGAAGCCATATATAGTCATTCTTTCCCAAATAGCAGTAGCTCAGGCAGAACTGTAAAAATGAACTTTCTAGACTGCTATGTTTTAAATGATATGCTGGTATGGATGTCTATTCCCAGTGTCTCTTTCTGCCATCTCATAGAGAATTAAAAGCCTCTCTTCTTCATTTTTATAGTTCTTCTATGGGGAGAAAATGAAAAGAGATGGAAAATGTCTTCTTTAGCAATTCAGGTACTGGCTATACACACTGCTACTGAGCACAATCTTCTATCCAGAAGTTAATCTCACATTCATGACCAATTGCTATTGTCATCAAATGTATTGCTAAAATTCAAATATTGTGGAATAGAAAAATGTAGAGTTTGGTAGTAAATAGTCTGATAAGTAATATCTGATTCTGAACTACCAAACTTGATTTTTCCTAGACTTTGAGTAATTTCTTTAACATAGTCATTCTTCATCATTCCCACCATTCCCTTTTGCTAATAATCACTTAAGGTTTTTACCTTTGTCATTTAATTCACATAAATCTCAGAAATATATGCTTTATTAAACAAATATAATGATGTAATTTCTGTTTGAATCTCCTAAATCATATGCAATATTACAAAATCTGGATTTCCAACTTCATGTCAAAATTAATCAGAAGTGATAAAGAAGGTAACTTCATTTTGACCAAATGAACACTTCATCAACAGGAATTATGATTCTGAACATATATACTCAAACTTGGATACATCCAATACTATTCATTAGTCTAGAGAGTAACCTTAATTCAGTAATATCAGTAAAATTATATATCCTAGCTTAACTAACAGACAGGCTGCATAGACAAAAATGAACTGAGAAACAGTGGACATAAATAAAATCATAAATGAAATGGACATAATATTTTTACTATCATTATAGATTATTTAAATATGTTTGAAAGGTAAATATTGCTTTGGATGCAAGTGTGAGAAAATAGCGATCCAATTGCTTAAACTAGTAGAACAGTAAATGTATTCTGTGTTGGATGAGAAAGATCAAGGAAGCAATGAACTTTGTTTTGCAATTTAAACCTGAAGGTTCTCTTGGATATCCCAGAACAAATTTAGAATTGAAATGAAGAAATACATTTGAGAGTTATAAACATGAAAATAGTGTTTAATTCCTAGAGAGTTCTCTCAGTAAGAGGTTAGGTTTAGGACTGGGGAGCTCAGCAGGTAAACAGTTGCCTAGAAAGTGGAAAGATTGGTGTTCATTAATCGTGAAAATGCCAGGTAAGCACAGCAAACCTCCTGTAATCCCAAGGCACAGTAAGTATATGGAGACAGGAAATCCCTGGAGCATGCTGTATTTGTTAACTCTGGTTTCAGTGGAGGGTCACTTAGGAAGCTGCCGATGTCAACATTGGGCATCCTTATGTGTGTGTGCCTTCACACATGCAAACATAGAGGTACACAGGCATGCACAGATTTTAGTATATTATTGTTTAATTGTGCTTTATTTAGAGTCACAGGAAAATGATGTGATTCAGCTAAGTTTTTCACCACTGTGTAACAAGGGAAACCTTTCTTCTAGTTCCTATAAAAATATTTATTTCTTTTCTGACTCCCACAAGAACAGCCTTTGATTTTCTGTCCATGTGTAGTTACAAGAATTCTCACCATGAACACTTAGATATCTCTTAGAAGACTGTGATTCTACTACCCTTATCTCCTGAATGTGCACCAGAATTACCCTGAAAATTCCATTCGTAAGATTAAGACTGTTGTTGCCATTCAGATCAAATCTGCTCCACCTTCTACTTATACATTACTTACAAAATCATGTTTTCATTTTTGTGTATTTGAAATGTTGTACTTCTGTACTAAAATTTTCTTTCTAGGCTGTACCTGAGCACCCAAAACTGGGTGATAATAAATAAATGAATAATTACCTTTTCTTTAAGTTTTGCAAGCTAATTTCAAGATTAAAGTACTAGCCGGTTTGGTTGTTCACTATAGATATGTAATGATCTGATATTTCTGAGTCCAGTTATTTAAAGAGTAAAAATTATACTTAGAAGTAAGACCAATAGTGCGGCACATAGACCACAAAATAAAGACATTATTCAAGAAAGTCAAATGATATTCAGCAAAACAATGAGATAATTATCCCAAAAGCATTTGGAGAGGATGTTCTACCCATCAAAGATCTATAGTGCTAGTACCTAATGTATAGTTTTGAGACAATGAGACCTTGGACAATGCTGCCTAGACAACACAAATGTCTCTGCTGTTTGCGTCCTGATGGGATGCCTATTACTTATCAATCCCAATTCAAACTTATACCAGTGATTTTGCAAGTATCATTATAGAAAGAACATCCAGAGGAAGCTAATTCTGCAAGAATGCAGAATGCAGGAGCTGGGTAGACACAGCTGCAGTCACTTCGATTTCAAAATATATTTTCTTAAGTTTCTTTTCTTGTGAAATGACAAAATACCATGACAAAAACAGCTTGTATAAGAAAGACTTTATTTGGTTCATGGAGCCAGACTGAAGATTCCTTATGGTGAGGAAGGCATGGAAGCATGTGGCAGGAGCAAAATGGTTGATCATATTTCAGCCACACAGAGAACTCAAAGAGAGTGAATGTGAAGTAGGGCAAGGCTACAAAGCCTCAGAGTCCACCCTGAATCACATAGCTCATCAAGGCTATATCTCTTAAATGTTCCACAAATTCCCTGAAACAGCAGCAGCCCTGCAAGTGTTTAGATTCTTGGGCTTATGAGGAACACCTTTCATTCAAACCACTATACATGTTTTAAACAGCATTGAAGCTGAGGCATGAAATCGCCACAGAGGGAGGCCAGCTGCGAAAGGCTGTATCAAATTTACTTTGGCTTAGTAAAGCCATAAATCAGGTATGTCCCCAAGACTCCTGACCTATGTACTACAAAAGTCAAATGCAGCCTGGTAGAGCCACAGGGACACATCATCAACTTAATTTCAATGCTTGTGAAATACTGTATGACCTCCCAAAATATGTTCATCATTATATAATAATTATGATGTATTTATAGTTTACTGTGATGTTAAATACATATAGCCAAGTGTGTAATTACCCAGTCAGGGTAACTAATGTTTTCTTCTATAATTTTGGTTTTTGGAGTCATTGAGTACTTCTCTTGTAGTGTTACTGTGGGTTGTAGTCTTCATACTGTGTTACTTCTTTTAAGCCTTTAGCAGTCAGTCTGTTATTTAACATTTACATATGGAAGACACTGTAGTATTTGTGTTCTTGCTTTTATTTTTCTTAATATAATGATTTTGGGATTTATCAGATTTGATGTAAATTATCTAAAAGCATAATTTTGGGAGTATAATAATATTTCATGTGTTTATTTATTTCATGTTAAAGGTGCATTTATCCAATGATCAGCATCCAGGCTTATTCTGTATCTTAGATGTTGGGAATAGTGCAGCAATGACCTCTCTGGGGTGTAAGGACACATAGATGTCCTTTTGATATGCTGATATTGTTTGGTATTTTTTTCTGCTTTTTTTCGAGGCAGGGTTTCTCTGTGCTTTGGAGGCTATCCTTGAACTAGCTCTTATAGACCAGGCTGGTCTCGAACTCACAGAGACCCACCTTCTTCTGCCTCCTGAGTGCTGGGATTAAAGACAAGCACCACCACCGCCTGGCTGCTTTTGGTATTTTAAAAGCAAACAAATCTGTATAATTAAATAAATACACTATATATATATATTTTAACTTGATGCTTGACTTTCTAAAAGAGTATTACAGCATAAGGCATGTATAACTTTACTAAGTTTTTCACTAAGGTCAATGGATTGCTTCAAGTACCTTAAGTGACATCTATCCCTGCCTCAAATCATTCCAGTATCCCAGCCTCCAACACCAGCAGGCATTG